GCATTGAATGAACAACTTCAACATTTATCTAATGAATTGAAAGTAAAACAGGATGAATTTCACAAGACACACAAAGCATTGAACAAACAAGTAAACTTTGTCGTTGGATTTTCTCTTGTGTAAAACCGTTTTTTGCTTTTAGTTAACAATCAAACAAGAACAACTTGTTCGTTGCGATCAGAACCTTCATGATTTGGAAATCAAATCAAAATACGCGAGAGAAGAATGTCTAATCCAAGAGAAAGAAATTGTTCGTTTGAATAATGTTCAAGAAGAACAAGAAAACCGAATTAAGACATTACAACAAGATTTATTACGAGTTCAAGAAGAGGTAAAACTATCTTTTGTGAGAAACAATTCTTCTGCATCAAACAATGGCAAAGAAAAAGACGCTTTTAAATGAAGCCTTAGAAACATCTCTCCGTCGTCACTTATGATGAGTTTCATTTCAATGCAAACAATTCTAAAACAAACACTTGGAAAAAGAGACAAACTTATAATATATACAGAACCATGACGTCTCTCCCAGGCTTGTTGAGAGCTACTCGGTAAAATCATAACTCGAGCAGTTTCAAGGAGAATATCATATTAAATAAGAGAGGGATGATCGAAAAATTTTCAATAGGAGTTAATTACCTCGTATCTGCTTGATTGATTCAATAAAATAAAAAATTCATTTCTTTTGTATAGAAAGAAACAATTGCTCTTCAATGCGAACGGTCCGAATCGGAATTACGTAATACCAAAATCTATCGCGAAGATGAACAACGTCAATTTAGTCATGAATTGGAAGAATTGAATAGCGAAATCACTTCGTTGAAGAGCAAGGAACATACGCTTTTGAATGACATCGATGGATTAAAATCAGAACTTTCCAATGTTAGAAGCGAACGGAATGAATTTCAAGAGCAGAACGAAAAATATCAAAATGAACTGGAAAACATTCAAAAATTGTTATCCAGTGAAACAGAAATCGGTTCGAAATCAGTTGCAAAAGTTGCATTACTAACACGACAATTAGATGAAGAACAAAAGCGTGCCACGGAGGCGACACATCAAGTTGAGGATTTCAAAATGCAATTGAAGAGTACAATGATGACCAACGACTCATTGAAAATGGAACTTAACCAAGCACGAGGACTTGTTCAAGAACATATAGCTAAAGTAAACAGAGGAGTTTCCGTTGAAAAGTGAATGATTTTGTTCGTCTTGTTAGGAAAAAGATTTGAAACAAGTTCTTAACCGAACTGAAACGTCATTGGAAGAGGCGAATCAGTTATCAGACAGTCGACAACGTGAAATCGAATCGCTGAATCATCTGCTGTCACGTCTGCAAATCGATTATGAAAAATGCAAAACCGATCTATCAAAAGCACATGATGAAATCGTTCAACATGAAATCGAAAATCAAATTTTGAAACAAAATTCCACCGACAAAACGAATGAAGTATTTATAGAAATTCTTTCGTCTTTCGAATTACTTTTCCAACTTTTCATTTTCAGCTATCGACAGTGACAAATCGTTTCCATCAGGTTCAACAAGACTTTCACACTTATGAAAAAGAACATCGATATACAAACGAAGAATATTTCGAACGTGAACAACGCTTGAAAACAGTCGAAAACGAACTTTCGACGATGATTGGAACATACGAACAACTCCGAGACGAACACGCCGTTTTAAATGAAGAATTAGCCAAGCGTCGATATGAATTCGAACAAATGGAATTATCCGATAGTTCACACAAAGAACGAGTAAGTCAATAAAAATTCTCAAAAGCGAAATCTCTCTCACTAAACTATCTCTTTAGTTGATTCAATCAATGGATGAATCAAAGATCTACAAACGTAAATTAACTTTACTTGGCAATTGTTTCAAAACAGTTGTCCGAAAGGTAATTTCACTACAAAGTTGTTCATTATCTTAATTGACTTTGTCACTAGGCCTCTGAAACGAGCGAACAATGGGTTGTTAGTACATCGAAACTTCATGAACAAATCACTGATTTGAGTGAAGATGCGAATAAGTTACGTTCACTCGATGAACGTCTAGAGCAATCAACGAAAGCGTTGACGCTTTTACGTAGTCAACATGAAGATTTGATCCTGCAGTTCATGGGTGTTAAACCAGTTTTAGAAAAAGCATATTTATACGTCCGAGAATATAAACGAAAATGGTCACAGACGAGCAACGAGAATCGACATTTACGAATGGAAACGAAACGTATGCGAAGTAAAATCGACGATTTCCATCGTGCGGAAGGTTTGATGCATGGCAAAATTGAGGAACAAGAAGCAACTGTAGTTCAATTACGCAAAGAACTTAAGTAAATTCTTCCTTCGAAAGTATATTCGTTCATTTCGAACATTTTTGTTATAGTACCGAAGCACAAACTCATTTCGAAGCGGAAACATTAATTGAACGTTTGAAACATACATTGGACGAAACTGTTCGTGAGCGTGATCAATTAATTAAAAACATGGCAAATGCAACTAAAAAAGTACGATTATATCTGTTCATCGAGCAAAGTTAATATTAATTTTTGATTTTAGATTGAGAAATTTGAGAACGATACTGATGGATATAATAATGAAATTCGTTCATTGCATCAACAAATACAGAAATTTGAAAAGCAATTAGCAAGTACACATGGACAGAACGAAGCTTTGCAAAAAACGATTCAACAGAATGAATTATCGTACCAGGAAAAGGTAAGTTCTCTCCTCCTTTAGAATGGATTTCAAAATATTCGATTTTCTTCTTGCTTTTAGATTAATGAATGTGAATTACTATTAATATCATTGAAAGAAGCAAATAAAAACACATTAGGTTTAGTTGAACAAAAGAAAAACGAATTAAATGCAACACAATCCGAAATCCAAGCATTGAAATATCAACAAACAGCAACTGCTTCAAAGGTTCGAATCGTTTCGATTTTCTGACTCTTTCATATTGCTAACAACAAGAAAAACGAATTTCTTCTATTTTAGTTTGACAAAGTCGAAGAAATGAATCAGGAACTAAAGCGACACATTGCTTTACTTGAACGATCGAATGACGAATACAAACGTTTATCTCGTAAACGTGATCACGAACTTGAACAAGTGAAAAACGAACTCGAGAGTTCAATCAAAAGTACCACGATATTAAATACAAAAGTATACATTTAAAATCATTATTCCCTTTTTGACTCTGCATCTCATGTTGCGATTAGTGTGCGAAACAAGATGCAGAATTGACTGGTCTTCGTCAGGAAAATGCATCGTTGACCGAAGAAGTGAAACTCATGCGTGAAAATATGAGTCGCTGTCAAGAAGAACAGAAACGTTTACGAAAAGATTGTGATCAAGCATTAAACTTTATTCACGAAGGCATTCCTGAATTGTGGTAAAATCATCACACTAAGCAAAATGTTTCTAATTCGTTTGACGTTTGAATCTCATTGTTTGTTTTTGATCATGTTTGGTTTGTCTAGTCATTTAACTTCTTGCTTTTAACGTTGGGTGTTCTCTCTAATCACTTGAGATCAGATATATGTGAAGATTTGTGTCAGTTTTTTCAATATCACTTGCATTTGTTTGTGTGTTTCTCTTCTAATTGTGTTGCACGATTGGTTAGATGGTCAATAAATGTAGATTAGAATTAATTGGTTCTAGGAGGGAATTTCCGAGTTGATTAATCGTCTTCTTATTTGTTTAGTGTGGATGATAGTGATAGTAATGGTCGAAATGGATCATTACACGAAAATTTGAAAAGAATTCCGGCATTAATGCAACAATTAACAGGTGATCGGGATAATTTGAAGAGTAAAAATGCCGTGTTACAACAATTTGTTCGTGGCCTTTCGACCGATCTGAACGGATGTCAAAGTGGCCAAAAGAAATACAAAGTAAGTGCATTCATTGCTTAATCAGATACATATTTCTGGTGATTAGATGCTCAAAGCACATTCAAAACAGCAGCAATTGCTATTGAATCAATTGGAAACACATGTGCGGTTTTATGAGTAAGTTTATTTTCAATAGATTCGATTGCAAATCCATTTTGATTGATCGAATTAGATCTGTTTTCAAAGAAAAAGGTTTCTTTCCATCAATTGAATACCCAGGAAATGCACCTGTGGCATCAGCACCAGATGTCATTGATAAAACTCATCATCGACGAAATTAATTTTGTAAACAATTCACACAACGTAGATTTGACTCTATTTTCACTCATTTTCTTTGGATTTTCTTTTCACATCGATGTTGGTTCGTCATTGCACAAGATTTGTTTTTTTTTTGTTCGTTGATTCTTTTGTCCGATCATGAAGAACATTTTATGAGGAATGTCCATCTCTACTTGTTTTCTTTTCTTCTGTCGATCTGAATTTCGGACAAAAATCCTATTTTATTGAAATATTCGTCTACTGTTGTGCATTAGATTGTGAACTTGCGTCTTCATTCTTTTTTTTTCAAATATATTTGTACGAAAAACAACAGCAAGCGAACATTTAGAAGTAAACTAATCGAATAAAATTGAAGTTTAAAAGAATCCGAAGTCGTAGGAATGATGGTACTAAAAAGGAATATCATGCGTTTTGTTTGTTTATTGATATATTTGGTCAATACAGGTTGATGGAAGACGAATTACAAATTCTTGTATAATTCAGTGCGTTTTAGAAGGCAAAATATTCTGTTCATTTGATGAAAAGAGTCGATTATGTCAATGGAAATTATTTGGATGGGATATTTATCATAGTTGTGGATATAAACCGAAGGTCAATGAACGTGAGTAAATCGAATTTTACTTTTGATATTTAGTTCTTTGTGGGTTGGTAGATTTGTGTATAAGGAAATACCTGGATGGATCGAAATCGACAGTTTTGATTAAACTTCATAGTTCACCGAATGAGCAATATTGTTTTAAATTCAAATATCTTATGACTGGAATAATGATGAATAGTAATGAGAATAGGCATATCCGATTGAATTCTCTCGAGTAATTTCTTTCAGCTTGTATGAATTTCTACGGAAAATCTTTGGCGAATATCACAAAACCATCTCGACTATTTTCTACATTTTGTATCTCAAATGAAACATTGAAACTCAATTGGTACTCCTCTGTCATTCCTCTTCTTGAAAATCTAACGATGGTAAAACATCATTTTAACATATAATCAACTGATCTTCTTTCAATCGCCAGATTAATATCATCACAGAAAGTACTGGAATACCCAGTAATCATTCATTAATTATCAAGGATTTATCAATTGACCAATGCAACCCAAGTAAACGTCACATAATTCGTATAGAATTCTTTATGAAACCTATTTTAGTTACTCAACTCACTTCTATCGTTCCATCACCATTGACTCGAACAAAACAAACTTGGTTTCAATATCAATGGCTGTTCATTTTCCTGAGTATTTTATGTTTGGGGATCGTGTCGGTTATTTTCTATCTTTATGTTACTCGTAAAAAATCGATGGTCATTGAACGGATGCCGAATTCATCCATAACTTTATCTCATCATTTTTATGAAGAACCGATTTCGGTGATTCTTCAACCATCGATTGATATTAATGAATATGATCATGTCCGAGACAATTACGTATGAAAGAAAAAGCGCATTGATATGACATTCAAATTTTTGTTGAATATTGTCAACTTTGTTTTCCTTTTCAATGCCGCCGATAAACATCGATCAATCAAATAAACTACAGGAATATCAGTCTATTTTTAAACATTATGGTTTGGAACGATCAATGCAATCGTATTCTGACGATGAACTTACTAAACGAGTTAATAATCATCTGTATGATAAGAACGAAATACTAGAGAGAAATACGAGTAATAAGAAAACTGCTAAAGCAAAAACCGTTTCTAAAGTATCACGAACACCATCTTCTGCGAGATCAAATAGAAGCAAATCTGTTCCGAAACAAGTTTGTTTGTTGATATAGCGAAGCTCTTCCTTTATTAGATTCCTTCTGTTCTGCTAGGCTAGATCAAGTGATCAGGGAAGTGTTATCAAAATTGTCGTTCCCTCAGCTGCTAAAGCACGTAAAACAAAATACACGTATTCGAATGATGCAATTTCCTCAATATCATTCTTGCCATCCTATTTTTAGTAGTAAAAATACTCTCAAGCAACAACAAAGACCTAAAAATCTGTCGAGTCCAAAAGTAGCACCGCATACACCATTACATTCTGCTTCTTCAACAACGAGTGCTTCCATACAAAAGCTACCTAGATTCCAGTCAGATGTTGCGAAAACAGTTTCGCGTTCGCCCGGTGCTGTAGGATTCAATCCAATGAAGAACCTGTCGAACCTTGTAACAATAATTTGATCTATTAAACAGAATATCACCTGATGTTAAATTTGTATAGGATTTAGATGAAATCAACATGTTCGTCCGAGATATGTTTAATAATCGCATTGATTCAGCAGGTTCTATTGGAAATACATATATTATTCAATATTCTTACTTCTTTTAGAAAAACCAAGGCATTATCGTCCTTCTCGAATTCCGTTAATTTGGTATAAGCTGTCGTTCTCAACAAAATATCATTCGGATCAACTTCTTATTCTCTAAACATAGTCCTGACGATTCTAATGGTCATTTAACAGAGTACATCAAAACACGAAACCATTGCTTGGATCTTTTTGAAGAATATGTTAACAATATCAGACGACAACACGGTCTCGTTCGAAATGCTGCGTCTGATCCACCTATTTTCGAGCCCGGAATAAGCGTAAATAATCATAGAACAATGCAATGTCAGAGTGCTTCTTTTAGATTACGGGCCCACATATTAAAAAAGATACAGCTATCGTCGATAAAGAAGATTCGAAAGTAATAAAGAAACTAAACGCTACTGAACCGAGAAAAAAATACGCTTTAATTCATGAAAGCATGGGAATATTTATCATTGGTAAATTCAGACTTTTCCTAATTTACCGGGAGAAATCTTTGTGATGTATTGAGGACTATCTTAGGTGGATATATTTTACACGTTAATGTTCCCATTCAAAAAGAACCGACTACAGATTATTTGTTCAAATTTACCGGAGAAACTGTCAAAATTCCACCTTTAACTCCATGTCGAGTTCATTTTGGTAAGTTCTTCCAGTAGGCAATGTGATTTTTCTAAGAAATGTTCGTAGGAGTTTACGCAGATGCAAATGGAATTTATATTGCTGGTGGTCAGACAATAAATAATGAGTAAATCTTTACAGGGAATGTATAACTTTCACTCTTATCATTAGATTACTCGATGATATTCAACGATTGAATTTGCAAACATTAAAATGGGAACACATTGTAAAACTAATGAATCCAATCGCTGCATGGTTAGATTTCGATATTTCCTACCTATGGTTCATCTTTTAGTCTTGTATTCGTAGTGGTATGACGCTGGACGATGGACGAATTTACCTTGTGTAAGTACAGATTTGTGTATCGAAAAGATTTTCTTGTAGAATTAGCTCCATTTTTCTTAGTGGTGGCTATGATATTGTACAAGGACAAACTGTTCTATTGTCGGATTTCACTGTGTATAATCTATCATCTAATGAGTAAGATGTACATTTCATCGGCAGAATAATCTTGTTCTTTTGATGACTTTTAGTTTTGAACGATCGAGTGATCTTCCAACACCTCGTTGTCGTAGTTTAGTATTTTCGACAAATCGTGCTGTTTTCTGCGTGTCAGGCCTAGTCCAAAAGCACAATGAGAATGGAATTAAAAATATGCAAATATGTCACGTAATCAACTGATTTCATATTTCCCTATCTCTATGAATTCATAATCAACAGGATATTCTGAGATGGTCGCTCGATACACCAACCTGGACGAAAATCTCTGAAACACCAGTCTTAACTAAATACCATGCACTATCTTTTAATAGTAGACGAAAATTTCTCAATATATATGAATGAATTCTTTCTTGTAGATCCTTACCTCGAAGTAACAAAACGAACTCTCCATAAGCAATCTGATTCAGATGCTACAACAAACGAAGTAAGCAAAGATATTTTCTCGTACCGATGAACCAAATTTTGTTTAGTCATACTACGATTTTCGAACGAACGTTTGGACAAACGGCAGAGCGCCAACCCCAACGTAACCATAACACTCAAACCTTCCCAAAGAATATCTCATTCGTGTCACTTGCAGAGAATCGCCTCCATCACGCTCAATCACAACGCCTAAAAAATCCAAACAAACCTCGAAATCGAAAACACCCGCCAAAACCCCATCTAAAACCCGAGGTTTGTTTTTCCATTGAAAACAAACATAACACGCACCGAAGTACAACAACAATTTCTTTTCCAGTGAAAAAAACACCATCAAAAAAATAGCACAATGTTATCAATTGAAATCACCCATCGCATGATAAATGATGTCTAATGGATCCATGAGATTGAAAGTGTCAACTGCCTACAACATACAATGAAGCAGTTAATTGCAAAGAATTTTCTTTTAATTGATCACACGATCAGAAATGTATTTATGTAATTGAAAAACAAACAACTAACGAACATTTTTTCCATTAATGCCTTATTCATTAGTCGATTATTTTTCATTCATTCATATCTTTAGATCAAATCAAATTCAATTTCTTCTGATGTTCATTTGTTTCTTTCTCACTCTTGTACTCAGACACCAGATGGAATCTTCGAAGGATCTCAATTTTCAGAAAACTTATACCCAGGTGCCAAATTTGATAATCCATTTATATCTAAAACGGCTCGTCTATCACCGGATTATCGCCAATCATTTGTAGACAATAAACACTAATCGAATAAACTTGTTAACGTGTGATATTGAAGTGAAATTTTGTCTTGCTTCCGGCATTTCTCTCTGTCTATCTTAATTGACCATCGAGAGAGGACGAAGATGCCCTACTGAGCCGCGTGTATACACACACATATTTGATTCGGTAATCAATTAGAAAGGCAACGTAAGACGACAAATAGATTGGTTTATAGACAATAGACAATGACAGAGAAGAAGAGAGAGAAAAAAGAGAGAAATGCTCAAGAAGATATGCATATATAAGTCGAAAGGATCGATGTTGTAATCTATTGATATTGTGAGATAGAAAATCATGCAAGGTAACAACTCATTTGAAGATTGTCTTTATGGTTCGAAATAAAACTATTGTATTTCTAGTTTGTCAACATCGTCGTTTTGAATGTATTCAAGTTACATATCGTAATAGTCACAAATGTATAACAAATTTCAATCGTCTGACCACAGTCGCTCATATCATCGATGCTCTACTAGATGATTTAGCTGAAAAACAGAATTTTACTATCAATGATTGTTGTCTCTATGTTGAACATCCACCTTATCTATACCCGTTGAAAACAACTGACTTCATTCAAGATATTCTTCTACATTACGCTTCGTCAGACATCCGTTTCAAATTATCCTTCAAACGCAATTCATCTCCATCTCGTTTCGCTCAACGAAAGAAGCTCCTTCGAACACCGGTACAACGACCTATCCTGACGAATGCATATGAACAGTTGAAAATACAAGAATCATTGATTCGTAAACAACATGAAATTATCAGTCAATTACGGAGTACAAATTTATCAAATAATTATTCTTCGTCATCAAACTATGCCAATTATTTTGACTGGGTTACAGGCACGGATGATTGTGATATCGATAGTGATGATAGCAGGTTTGTTTTCGACAATAACATCTCTAATTAAATCTATTGAAAAATATTTTCTCGTAGAAGTACATCAGATATGATCCCAGTTTGTCGACGACAATCTCGGCAAGATGAATATCACCAAGCTATCAATCAGCATACGACCAATTCAACTCGCTCCTTGTCACGTGTTCGTTTTCGTACCTCGACCGTACGTAGTTCACCATCGACGGTCACTTCTGAAGTGAGAAGTATTCTGAAAAAGATTTCATCGAATCCACGAACAACAAGTGTCGATCGCACACTTTCCACAAGTAAACAACGAGCAACTACGACGAAATATACATCGGATGACGATGATCTATCCGATCGTAGTACGACTGATTCTTGTATAGGTTCGTTATCATCGGACGATAGTAATAGTTACACGATCAATCAACATCATTTGGAGACACTCGTGTAATTTGTTCTTTTGTGTGTCGGGTTATTTTTTTTTGTTGCATTTATAAGTCGGATTTGATTTTTCAATATATGAATAGCTTTGACTATGGAGAAAAACACAGGTTTGCTTCTTCTTCCTCCTCTTCCATCAACAAGCAAAAAGAAAAGAAATTAGTTATTCTGTTTCGTTAATTACAGCGGTAATGTTTTTTTTACAGTACGATAAGAATCTCGAACAAAACAAAATTTCTTACGAGCCATGTGTCACATTGAAATAAAGCATACATCGTGCTCGCCGATATATTTTTGAAAAAGAAAGAAAGAAAGAAATCAAAGAATACGGCAAGTAATAAAATAAAAAGAGCGATGGCAGGGCCGATAAAATGACTTTTCGACGATGAAAAAACCTTTCATAAACACAGGGAAAAGAGAAGAGAAATCGTATAGACTACATATAAATACGTCGGTAAATGCTGTTTTTCTTCTCTCTTTCTTCTACTTCCATTCTTCTTACTTATCAACATAACAACATTAAATGATGTCACAGAGTAATGGTCTTACAACGGCGACAATGACTAATAACAAGTTAAATGTTAATGGAAATGAAGCAGAGTGGGACAATAAGTGCGATGTTTTTAATAGACTTCAATCGTTGATCCCAGCGATAAAACAAAACTTTATCTTAATTTCTCAACAATACAATCAATTTCTCAATGATACGGACGAGTTGAATAAAACATTTACCGCGATGCAATTAAAACAGGAGAAGCTTGAACGAGAATTAGACTTTTATCGTAAAGATCTCAATGATTTTAACAAACAGATCGATTCGAATGCAGATAATCGTGTGTATCTCGATGTAGGTGGACATCATTTCACAACGACCATTAAAACCTTAACTCAAAGTAATTCCTTGTTTTTTAAAGCATTTCTTACGAAAGAATGGAACCGAAATGCAAATACGGCAGATAATCGAATCTTCATCGATCGCGACGGACGAATTTTTGATTTGGTACTCAAATACCTTCGAACAGGTGAACTTAACATTGAAGATAGAACCATTCGGAAAGAATTGCTCACCGAAGCGAAATTCTACAAAATTCAAAGTTTAGAAGACGAATTGAATTCACTTTTACGAAAAGATGAATCATCTCTGACAGTTAATCTAACTAACCAGTCATCACCGCCATGTAGTCCTGCACCAGCAGTCAATCGAACACGGTCTTCGCCTTATACCCCATCGGCGTCACCAAATGCATTGACACGTTCTTCACCATTCAATCAATCTATGCCGACAAAAAGCAAACCTCATCCAGCTCAAACAGCATTGTCATGGCGAACAACAATTCCATCCGAAAACCGTTTAAACATCTTCTTGGGAAGTACTTTAATAACATCAGAATATGAAGAAAAACTTTCCGAATTCATCGGTCCAGAAATGATGACACAGCAACCATGGAAATTGATCTATCGTGCTAGCGAACACGGATTCGACGCAGCTGATTTCCATCGTTGCTCCGAATCCTATGCGCCAACAGTATCAATCATTCAAACCGATTTCGGAAATATTTTCGGTGGATTTACATCAGTTTCATGGAGTTCAGCAACACTTCGTGCTGATCAAGCAGATCCCACAGCATTTCTGTTCACATTGAAGAATACTTTAAACATACCACCAACGAAATTTCCCGTCGCGAAAGAATATCAACAGTGTGCAATAAGTCATAATCCAACCTGTGGTCCCAATTTCGGCTCGCCGAAGAATGAAGGAAGTGATCTGTGTTTAAGGAACAAATTTAATGAGAAAACCAATTGTATATTTTTTCCAAAAAGTTATGTCGATACAACGAATCTTGGCAGTTCAATATTTGCGAAGAAATATTTTGCCTGTAAAGAAGTCGAAGTATTTACGATAACGACACAATAACTGAAATCATAATTTAATTTTTAAATTCTTATTTTAACGAATTAATTTTAATTTATAAATATTGTTCTTTCTTTTCGGAGATAAAAAATATAAAACAAACACAGAATTTAGACACGAAGAAAATGATTCCCATGTTGTAAAATAACTTCTTTTTTCTTTATCGACCACCGGAGAGAATATACGGGCCTATGTAGATAGTTTAACTCGAAGCAGCGCGTTTAAGCTTGAATTACCGAATTATTTACTATGTAAAACAATACGTCTTCAAGATAGGAAATAGAATGTTACTCTATAGACTTTCTCTTTTGTTTCTCATGATTCAAAGTGTATCATAAATAGTTTTCAAACAACTAGATCCTATCAGAACTAATGTCATGTGAAAGTCCTTTACAGCAGGAAACTCAAATCTTATTTATTTCCTGTCAACATTGAAATTCTTCCTATTTCCTATTGACTTCGCTAAAACTAATCGTGACAGTACGAAAATGTACATTTATTTGTCAGGATTCACCGACGACCTGCTATTATCATAGTATGTCACGTATGACTTTCGTTGTGAATCTGAACTCGTAAAAATCACACAATGAAAGTCATGTTTGTATGTATCAGAAGGACAGGTGTGCCGTGTCTAATCAGGATCTATTAAAAACAATGAGTTTTATTTCGTCTTTTAGTTTTTTTTAAATTTCCAATTAACATTCCTACACACAAATACTGCGACATTGTGTTGATTAAATGTTCCGTTCGAAAAAATACTTTCTATGAAAGTGCGTTGGCAAACACATCTGCTATGGGGAAGAAATCATCGATATATTTCGCAATTAAAGATCTATTAACCTGTGCTCTTTTCATGATTTTTATCTTGGTATGTTAGTTGGACATCACCTTTGCTATGCAATCACTTCCTTTATGATGAAATCGTATGGTTTAATTGCTGACATTATTGACAATGATTTGCAAAAAGAAAGGAAAAGCAAATCATGCGCGTCGAAGTAAATGAGGATTTTTCTCGCATGACTACGAGCAATTATGGGGTTATAAAAGCTGCAAAAATATTGTACAGTCTTCAGTTCTAACATTCATAGTTACTTGAATAGTAGACATTCCGACGACCTCATCGAACAACAAAGATGGATAGTAAGTGGAAGATTTTTCTTAGTTGGTGTTACGAAATACATGTATTTTATTATTTTCAGCACGAATTGTAAATGCTCTTGAAAGAAAATACGGACTCGATCTAAACGGAGATGGATTTATTGGTGGAGAAGGTAGTTATCGAGATTGATTCAGTAGGAAAATATTCTCTTTTACATATTTTAGGATATCTAAGCCAACTCGAACGAGCGACAGGAAGAGATTACAACGGTGATGGAATTCTCGGCCGTAGACCGGATGTTGTTCCCGGATACCCAGCAGTCTCTGGCTACGCATCCATGGTGTACGGTCCCACTGGTCAAATCCACGCCACAAATGGTTTTGTTGCTCCAAATCATTCATATAGTCATCCACATAGTCACCATCATATTCATATGCATCGCCATTTCTAAAGACAAATAGTTTCAAACATATTCACTGTTATTTATTCCTGGATCAGTAATAAAAAGTTCCATTTTATAGAGCGTTGATCGGAAAGACTATCTTGTTAATCGACTTGAGAACATATGTGATTAGAAGCAAGACTTCTATAGATTTGTAACAAACAGAATGTATGACATTCGCGATAAAATCAGGTATATCGAGTATATAATTTGCGCCAGTACTTATAACGGGTCAACCATTGACACTTGACACGTCTAATCGAGACATTTAATGCGTCTCTGTTTTAGACATATTAAGTCGACTCACCTACACATATCACGTATTAACGAACTGTCTACACTGGATGTTGAAAAACAAAAAGGAAGTGTGACGTTCGTTTGGTGAAACAAATAATATCCTTCAAAACTGACAGATTTATTTTCTCCTATAAAATTGATCGGTAACGAGGTCTTCTGCTTGTGTCATTTCATGTAATGTGATCAACTATGAATTTGATTACAACATCTTGCCAATCATCTGAAATCTATTGCTTGAGTGAACATCTGTTCACCAACGATGTAAATTCTTGTCGATAATCTTTAGATGAAAACGTAGTGACTCATTTTCTTTAAACACTTTCGACATATTTTATGCAAAATGTGTCGAGCAAGATTCTTTGATCTCTCATGAATCAATTGGCGCGATTTCAATAGTGAATAAAATTTTTATTTGTAATGTCAAATTATGAATAAGAAAGAGAAAAACGAAAGAGAAAAGAAGAAAAACATGTCTATGTCTCGATGGTATATTTTCATGCATTCATTTTTTTGATGAGAAGGAAAAAAAACATTGATATTTACAATCGATTATAATACACTCAGTTTTGTGTTTTTCCAAACCGTTCGTCTATGTCTAGTTCGATTGTTTCCCTACACGATAACATGAACTATTCACAAATAGATCAAATACGAACTCATCAATAAAAAAAACAAGATAGATATATAACAGAGGACAAGGAAAAACAAAGAAACATTGTTGAAGTCATCAGCGAAGTAAAATAAGGAATGTTCTTCTGAACATGTGAAGGAGAAATGATGACTTTTTCCGTGTAAATATGTATGTACAGAAATGCTGTTGTTATTTGCAAATAAAAGGAAACTTAAAAGCAGAAGAGAATGTTTTTTCTTGTAAATATGCGAGTAGAAGAAATGTTTTATGTACAAAATCCAACGACATTGATTGAATTGTTTAATCCAATGTATAAAAGTAGGGTGTTTTCATACGAAGGTAGCGACGTAAACATAAGTACATACTTAAAGAAACAAAGTTCACATGCATGAATGAAATTGTTTTGTAAAACCGAAGTGAACTTACATTCCCATGCCAAGAAGAAAACTGGCACAATTGCTTAAGAGAACATAACGCATACGTTTTTTTTCGATTAAAGCTTTGGCTGCTTCTTCAGCTGCGCGTTCTTCTTCGTCTTCGTCGAGTAATTGATCACGGACACTTCGATTGATCGGATGAAGAAATTTCCATTCTCTAGACAAATAAAAATCAGTTACATTCAAAGAAAAACAACAGCAAAGATTCTACTTTGGTGGTTCAGACTCAACCCGTGACCAATATAACATCCAGTTAGCGACATTTTCATCCGTTTGAATTGGACTCTTCGGACTCTTCGGTGATGAGCTAGAAAGAATCGTGAAATCTGTAGGAAATGAACGATGGGAATAAATACCTATCACTATGTGAACTTTTCGAGCCAACACGTGATGATTCCTTTTGTGCCTCTAATAACAAGTTTTCATTGATGTGCATACTGGACAAAAGATCTCGATCGGCGAATGAACTTGTAGTTGTTTCTGGAGTTGGAGTTTGTTTTTCTTCTGATTGAATATCAATCCAGGAATCTAAAGACAAAAAAAAATTTCGTTGTTTTTTCTTTTCCATCGTTTGTGTACAAACCTGATGTGTGATGTTGCATTGATTTATTCATTATTTACTAAGACGTTCTTCGTTTTATTGTGTATAGAAAAATCTAAAACTTCTAATCGATGTCGATTAAAATTCGCGTGTACATAATGAGAGAAAAAACGATTATGTGTTATGTCTCCGTTAGAAACGTCAAAGACGAAAAAAAAGTCTCTTCGTCTCGCGCTGACTCATCGTGTAATCTTCATAGCCATGTGATGATGTTGTTTTACTATGCACATATATTTATATATCGACGTATCGCACGTGATTCGTTGACCTATCGATATATATCAAAAGAAATGAAAACTATTCTACCGTTGTTCAATTAGAGCTCAGCATGCGCAATCGTAGCCATGAACTTTTATCTAAGTGCATTTAGTAGTTCTACTGCCAAACACATGATCATATAAACACGTGCTAACATAGAATGTAACGCACTTTCCCAGTTGATTAGCCGAAGTGCATAAGTGTGCTAAAGACATGTACAACAAGAATGATAGAGGACGTTGCTTGACATCGATTTTTCAACATGGATAATTGTTCCTATCGACCAAAATTTAATCACAAGAAAAACACTGTATCATTTTGAAAGAAAAAAAATGCGTTATAAAGATCTTTCGGTAGTCATTGAACCGAATGAAATTAGATTTGCTCATACGATACAGAACAATCTCTATCGACGGACGATTCATGTCAAAAATGTCGATACAAGAAGCAAACGAATTCAAATATTTCGTCCGTCAAACAAAGTAATTCGAAAATTTCTTCGTCAGACAATGTTTTATTGGTATTTTTCTTTGAGGATTTTCAATTGATTGTCGAAAATCCTGATCAACCGGTTCCACCTGGCCTGGAAGTAACCGGTGTTATCGAATATGTTGCTAAAATTAACGAAGAACAACGTGACGCGATTGTAGTTGATATCGATGGACGAGAAATTAAAATTCCTATCTACGCTTTTCCCGCCCGATCGGAAATTTCTGTTGCCGGTATGTACTTTTTTTATTTTCTCATTGCTAATGGCCCATTTCGTTGATTTCGATTTAGAAATGGTTGATTTCGGCATCCATGTTGCTGATAATAAAACTGTCTTCAAGAAGGTCATGGTCAAAAACACAGGCCATACACCAGCAACATATCAAATTCATTACAAAGGCGGACATCCAATTGCATTTTCACCCCAATCGGCAGTTGTTCAACCAAACTCCTCTCTATCCGTTGAAGTATCGCTCTTAACATCATCATTGATGTTAATTGACGATGTCGCAACGTATGTTCATCAAAGACTTATTTCGGAAAGAAAATATCGAAGAGCTTTCTTGTTGATCTTTGTAGATTAGAAGCATGTCATGAGACACATGAAATAAAACTGAGAGGAAAGATTATGAATCGTCGATTGTGCTTACTGCATCCAGAAAATGATGAAGAATTACGGAAGCTTAATTTCGGTTCGTGTTATTATGGTTGTGATTTAACAGCTGTGGCTATTCTCTACAATGATTCGCCTGAACCTGTTGCTTATTCAGCATTAATTGATGATTCAAAACAATCGGTAAATACATCATGTTTTCCTGTACGTGTCTTCTTATCACTTCTTTAGGATCATGATGAAAAACAAACCAAAGACACCGAATATTCATTGAACCCATTGAATTCAATGATTACTGTCTTTCCTAACCAAGGCATTCTCAATCCATTCGAAAAACGTCCTTTATTTTTCCGTTTTAGTCCAAGGTAAAGGCTAATCTCCCCTCGAGGTATCTCAACGTATCGTTTCCATTCATTTCGATTAGAGCTTATTCACCTAAACAAGCTTTTGCTACCACGCTTGACTTGCCACCTCGACGAGATGTTGCTGCTTTTATGTACTTCGAATTATTAGGTGCAAGTCCGGGTCTATCAAAAATCGAACAAAGCAAAACAAAACTTGAAATAGCTGTTGCAGGAACAGCGCTGCCCGTTGTTTTATCACTCGAACCTCATGAGTTACATTTCCCAACGACATACATCGGACAAAAGTATGAGCAAATTATTCATATATACAATCAATCGGATTTTAAACCGATCGACTTTCGTTTTCCATCGGTGGCGAATTTCGCAGCTTATCCTGCAAGTGGCCGATTAAAGCCAAGAGAAAAATTGAAAATTACAGTTACATTTATTCCTCATCAGATAGGTTTGTTCAATTTATTTTTAGTTTTATTTAATTTACTGAGTCTCTTTTTCAGGTGACATTAATAAAACACTCGTTTGTGAAGTAGTAGGCTCAGCAATTCATTCGCGCTCTCCTGTTCACACACAATCAAAAGCGATTCATCAAGCTCAATGTTTCTTAACTGGCCATGCGTCGATAATTACGGAAATTCCACCGGAAAAGTTCAACATGGGTAAGAGAATCGAGATGAACTCAATCATCTGCTATATTTGCTCCTCAACCAGGCTTAAAACCATTAATTGCCAATGAAGTTGGCATCAATGTCAATACAACACATGATTCGTTAAAACCATTTCATCCCCGTGCCGCCGTTTTGAACAGTACACACGATAGAACACATGTGAAACGAACATCAACTACCTATTTGGAGAACTTCAAGAAGCACAAAGTTTCGTTTCCTAATGATCGAGCACGGAGCATAGGTCCATTCAATCGTGATGATAGCTTCACGTATGTTGACTAGATAGAAAAGAATAGAAATAAAGACATTCTATTTAAAACACATTTTCTCGTTTTAGAACACCTTTTACAAGAGAAGAACGGTATAATTATGTTGATCCTGATTATGCGTACACAGATCAAGAAAGAAAATTAATTGCACAACATAACAGTTCTTATAATAACTTGTTTACTGAACAACGATATCAACGAACCGAAGCGAAACGCACGAAGTAACATCATTCGAAGAGTTTACCTTCTCAAGATAAACGCATTCTTCTTCTAGAGAATTACAGAAATATGACAATAACACTGATCTTGGAATGAAACCCGGCAATGATTTAGAATCGCCTCGGATCGCTCTAGCTGAAGTAGAGAAAAATGTCAGCAAAGCAGCAGGTAAATAACATTGAAAGCATTCACATTGTTATTTACGTTCCAACAAACACACCAAAAGATTCCGGTGTAGCAGAGTATCATTCAAATATAGTCTTTTTCGGTTTACACGATTTCATGTTCAATCAAGTAACATATAGAGCGAAACATCTAGTGAAAGAATCTATTTTCCATATAGATGAATCATAAATTCCCTTTCACCATCACTTATTATAATGAAAGCTTCACTGATTTTCTTACTCGTCTTTTCTCCATTTGTTTTTTTTATTAAAAACGTCAGAAACTGATGAATATTATCTTATTAGAAGATTTTTTTTTCTGCCCGTAAGAATAAATAAGAAGCAGAAAAACGCGTCAAAGAAGATATGCGCGATTTTTTCTGCAAAGAAGGAAAAAAAGAAGAATAAAAGGAAAAAGGATACGGATGTAAGCAGATTTTTGCATCAGTTTTTTTTTCTTCTTTTCCAGTTCCGTCGTATCCTAATTGGAAATTTCGTGTGCCGACGACATCGGAATTAGCTGAACAAGAGCAAACATTGTTGCATAAACCAGTTAAAGAAGGTCTTAATTCTGTTCCGACAACTTTCAAAGAAAAAAAAGAATGTGCCGTGCATTTATCGCCAAGTCAACTTTTCAAAGTCGTCGTTGGTAATTAAAGATGATTTTCTTCTTTTTCCAAGCTTGTAAGTTCTTGTTTTCAGGACCGGCAGAGTTAGATTTTGGGGAAGTCTGTGTCAATGCACCAGTCACGAAGTTTCTATCAGTTTTGAACAATCTCGATCAGTTTATTGTCGTTCAAATCGAAGTAAAACTTTCACAACGAAAGAAATGTGACTTCAACGAATATTTAGGTCGATTCGGCTGCTTTGAAAATGACCTCACCACTATGTCAAGTCATTCCGGGTAAATCTCACGTTCAATTTCCAATAACATTCGAGCCATCACAAATCGGCCTTTATCAACGCTCGCTTTCGTACGTAATCAACAATTTCTATCGACATTATGTCAAAATTATTGCTGATGTTCGTTTACCAACGGTTCAATTATCAACAGAAAAACTTGTTATCAAATCATTGCCCCATCTTTTAGCCGAGGATTCCTTCCGTCGAGTCGTCAATCTGTACAACCCATTGAATGCACCAGCAGAATTTCGTTGGGAACCAGTTATAGGGCCTAAAGGCACAGCATTTTCGATTAGACCAGCCACAGGTAGACATTCTTTTCTCACCCTTACGATAAGAAACCATTCGGTTCTTATAGGAGTCATTGAGCCTTATCAAACGATCGATTGCGAAGTTGTTTGGTATGGTAGTACGCAGGCACCATTGGAGAACTTTTTTACTTTACACGTTTCATCAACGAACGATTCACGAAAAATTTCTGGTTATAATCAATCAGCGAAAGGAAACAACGAAACGACATTGTCACTCCAGTGTATAGCGCAGATTGGAAAGGGTAAATTTCGAATTCCGGAAAAACGAGTTAACTTCGGTACCATTCCAATCAATATGACATCGAAACAAACATTTACAATTATTAACGAAGGATCGAATCATCTATTTTACGAAGTAAGACCATTTCTGTTTTTATTCCAAAGATTATTGTTTTTCCTCGAAGATTGTCGAACCAAATCCATGTCCTGGAGTCGTAATCAATCCACCGAGTGGTCTCGTCACCGCTGGTTCACAATCAAGCGTTACTATAGAAGTAACGCCAATCGAATTAATCAAATTTGATATTAAATTCGGCTTGAAAGTTCTCGGACAACGTGAACAAGAAATTCGTATGACAGGCGAAGTCATCGAGCCTGATATCACTATTCCCGAAGGAGAATTCAATTTCAGCGGAGTACCGATCTTGATGAAAGCCTCGAAGCAATTCCACATTGAAAATAAGGTATGCGAAAATATATCGACTGGGCGTTATGTTTTCATTTTATTTAATTCAATGCATAAAACACA